TGCTGAACTAACAAACATTATTCCAAACTAATGCCATTAAAAGATTCTCAGTGGAGTGATCACTTAGAGGTGCAAGTCTCAGCAATGTGAACAGCATCGTGAACCTTGAGGCTTGACTTGGGCAACATTAGGGAGAATCCCCCAAATATGAAATCATTGTCCCTTATTATAGCTAAATAGAAACTTAACTCTAGTTAATTAGGGCTGTTATCCCTATGGACATTGTGTGGCGTGCCAGTTTTTCTGTGTCCATGGCCAGCATGGGAAGACACAACAGTGAATCAAATTAGAAAAGAGGGAATTTAGGCTGATAAATGATATCACAATCTATGATTAGTTTCCATATTCCAAACAAAAAATTCATCACTTACAGAGTAGAGACAGCACATCTAACAACAAAAGTCTAAAGAGATCTGAGGTAGCTCAAGATGAAAGAACTATGTGGTTCCATAATACATTAGGCCATGCAGAAGATGAAGAGATAGATTCTCAAGGTCCATGTAACTCCTTACTTTGAGTGTGTGTTGGGGGTGGGTGGGTGGTGTTCTGTTTGGTGAGGGTGGGGGGGGGGGGGGGGGGGGGGATATGGTGTTCTGTTAGTGATATATCGTTCAAAACCAAAGGATAAGGAAAAACACAGAACTTTCATAATTACACTATTTGACAAAATGAATCCATACAGCAATCCTTTGCTGATTCAAACCACCCTCTGCATGGATAAATATATAACCATTTGTTTCATTTTCAGGAGGAAGATCTGCAAAAATGAGAGAAAAGTCAGCATGTTAAAATGGAAAAAATGAAAGGACGAGAATGAACATAGATAAAAACAACATTGCTTTCATCATTAGATATAGTTCATGCCAATCTTTCCAACACCACAAGATATGACTGAGAATTCCTATATCTTTGGATATGCAAACTGGAAATATAACATTAAAACATGTTAAACAGTGCAAGTTTCTTCTGAACTTCTTTCCTCTCCTTGCCCATTCACATTACAAGTCAATGCATTTGGAAGCAATTAACTGACTCTAAATTGTATAAACATCTTTCCTCTCCTTTTCCGTTCACAATACAAGTCAATGCATTTGTGATGTAATTTTTTTTTTCATTAAAGTACAATGCCATAGAACACACACAATGATACCCTTCACAAACCACTTCATGATATGTTTGGACTGCCCAGTGGGAGTCAGATACAAATGTGTCTAAGTGTCCAATTTGTTCAAATCCAAATCTTAGGATGCGGGACAGGGGTCAAAATCAGATAGGGATGCATGGACAAGTTTATTCTACATTGTTATCATTCTAATTTCCCTCGCAAAAATATCTCCACATTTTAACAGATTGGAGATAATAGTTGCAAAATTGTAACAACATGAATTACTATATTTACGAGAAAAGAATTGCAACGCCCTTGCAATTATGGTGCAAGCAAACGCTTCCTTGTTCAAATATGTTGTGGAGACCTGATGAAACTGTATTGAGTGCTAATCTTGTTCATATATTGTCACCTTCTTTACAGATGGAAGGGTGATATCACTGCCTTTCAAGTCAGCTTGCATTTCATAGAATAAAGATATCACTGCTACTTGAATCATTTTTGGATACCTTCCAGTAGAGAATATTGCGAGCTTATATTGTATAGTTTACAATAAGTGAAAAGGAACTGTAGCATGTCATCTGAAATTATCAAGATTGATGATGGGCAGAATTCCTTGAAGGTGGCGGAATTGACAAGCCACCCATATCTATGGACATGAATCTGCCAGCAAATGCAGAATTTGAAAAGAAAAGCGATGGCTATGAAAGCAAAATGTGCCTGGAGAGGAAGAGCATGTGTTGAATGTGGAAAATAATTCTTAAGTGAAACAGTTTCCAAGAAAAGAAAGTAATCAAAGGAGCTTACAGGCCAAAATATGTTGTTTGTCGCTCAAAGAGGAGTAAAAGGAACCCCATATCATGAAATTCTCTTGTGGTCTAAATATCATAAGCGTGTTGGTTTGCTTGGATTGCCTAGGAAATTCTCTTGTGCGCATCACTACTCACAATCAAAATGGGTGCGAATGGGAGATCACACCATGTCAACATGGGCTAACGCGCCAGGCATGAGTGCGTTTTGAATTTGGATTTCATACTCACACCAATGTCGTATGAAGTCAACATGAATATCTAGGGCTAAACTACTGTGCTCATTTAAAACTCACCTGATATCCCATTATCACGGCGCTCAGCACAAGGCTTCCATGAGGTTGTGGCAGAGTAAGGATTTTCCCAAAGCGAAGGAGCTTCGTTGACCTAAAATATAGAAGAAGCTGGTGAAAAAAAAAAAGCTAGCAGATTTTTATCAAAAACTATAAAACGAGGTAAACAGAAAGAAACTTGAAGAACTTACATGCGGACAGTGAAGAACAATGCCATCTTTCTTACACAGGTATGGGGCATTCTACAAAGATAGAGATAGAAAAATTAGTAGTGAGGTTTTTTAAGAAAAGAAATGCAAACAAATTTCAAAATCGAAATCCAAAAACCCACCAATCGATTAAAGATGGAGAAAGCGGAGATCAATCCAACAATAGCAAAAACAGCAATCAAGAATAACGAGATCTTGGAGTTGAGAAGAGAAAAAACCCTAGGATCGTCACTGAGAAAAGACCAAAAAGAACGGTCACGATCTCTGGAAAATTGATGACGGTGATCGTCATCGTGGGTAGTAACGTGAATGAGAGGTGAGGCGTCCTCGTCACGCTTCATTGGTGACGAAGAGGCTCGAGCTCCCACCGAGCTCGAGTGCCTCAGCTCCGCCATCGCTCTCTTTGGACTGTAAGCCAGCTCTGCGGATGATGAAGGTGAACTGTCTCAAGGCATGCCTTGCCTGTGACTTCGAGTTCAGATGTAAAACTATTTGGGTGTGTTTGGTATTGTGTCCGTAAAAATCAGACTGCGGATTACAAGAGGATCGCGTATGGATACTACTGAGCCTGACCCAAAACCGGACCTGAAATTTGATAATATCCTTCAAGTTTTTAAAAATTACATTTATGCCATACCTATATAATAGAAAGCTAGGTTGTCATGATTCTCCAGCCGTTTCTTTTAGTCTCTTATCTGCCACAGTCCCCGATTCCACGCTCTGCTCTCCTCAACTGCCTAGTCTGCTTTGAGTTTCTACCTTTATCTTTTCTTGGGATTTTAGGTATGTATGAATGTATGCATGCTTGTTAAGTCGATTAGCTGGTTCTTCCAATCTTTATATTCTTGCTTGCTTGCTTGCGAGCTGCTGGTCAATTATAAATTAAGCATGCTTTGATTACAGCTTTTTTTTCATCTAATTGATGGTTTGTTTATAGTGAGTCCTCTTAATTTTTCTTTTTTGATGTGTTATTATATTTGTTGACAAATTTGATCAAAACTTTGTGATCACTGCGCCTTCATTCACCATGTCCTTTTTAGAAATTTTTTCGTAGAAATAATCAATTTCTACCACCGGTTCACAAGAACATTAGGAGAGAAATTGTCTTGAATCCGATCTGATGATCTACTCTTGTAATTTTTATCGATTTGATCTTATTGAATCTGTGTCATGAGAAATGATTTGATTTGATATACGTTTGTTATTTTGGTCTCTTAAGAAATCTGGAAAATGAGATTTTCTCTTGCTTTCTTGGCATCCAAACAGAGAGCAGAGAGTTACTGTATTATTTGATTGATGCATATGCATATCTGTTGTTTGAGGCTGTTTGAGATTGAATTGAATCTCATAATTTTGAAATTTTTTAAGCCTTTTAGGAAATATTAAAAAATAATAATAAGGATGAAAATAGAAGGGGGAAAAAAAGAGTAAAGCACTAAAAAAATCCAGTTCTTTTAGTTGTGTTAGTAAAAATATTAATTAGTAATAGTAATAGCAAAGCATCTAAAAAAAAGTACATTTCTTTTAGTTGTCCTAGCTAACTTACCCATGTGCGTCAGATCAAAAATCATTTTTAAATTGAAAATGCAAGCGTATCAACTCATTTTTTAGTTTGGAAAAAAAATTTCATTTATTTTATCTTAACGGTTGATTGTTATTGTTATTGGTAATAACAAATGATTTTTGTTTTTATACAAAATTCATATAAGTACAACTATTTGTATAAAAGAGAAGATAAAAGAAAATCAAGACAAATTAATGCAATTAAAAAATATATATAAAAAATCAATCAAAATGTTAAAAACAAAGTTGATACAATTTGTTTTTAAAGAAAAGGCACATAAATCAATTTTTAAATACAAAAACTTAATGAAAAGGGATAAAAAGCAAAAAAAAAAAAATGGTCAAACATACATTGGTCAAGCCCATGCGTTTAGCCTTGATAAAAAAGCCTAGGCGTGCATGAATTTTTTCTTTTTTCTTTTTGTTTTCGTAAGGGATGGATGTTGCATCATCCACTCTCTTTTTTTTTTTTTTAAGGCAAGTGATAGGTCACCTTCAATGACAGGAAACCTATTGTAGAACGGTTGCAAACTAGTCTTTTTCTGATTACCGTAGGTGATTGGAAAATTGAGGTTAATGTTTTTGGATTTCAAAAACATAATTATCAGCTTGCTTTTACTTGAAAAAACCTCCAAACACTTCAAAATCATTCTGAAAAATGAAAATACTGAAAAAAAAAAACAATCTACTTTTCTTGCCATGTTTAGAGAAAAAACCACATTCATTTAAATTCTCTCAAGAAAAGGAGCCCATTGACACAAAGATCCTCTTTTTCGGTGACTGAAATATGGCTTAGCTGATAAGTTTTTCTCTCCTCTCTAAACTAAAAATTAAAAAATAAACAAACTAAACTCTTGAACCAAGATAAAAATTCAAAAAAACTTTGAAATTGGCCATGCATTTTCTCTGTGTATTACATTGTGATATGCGTGTTTTACATTGTGATTTTTTTTCTTAATTTCGTCTTTGTACTATAATTGAAAACTTTATTTCATGAAATTAAGTGCAAACGGATTAAATCAAAAGGTTTGAGGATGAATTTTTTTTTTAAAAGAACAAAAATGAAAAAAAAGGGAGAGAGTTGGAAAGCAGCTTAACTTTCACATGAACAGTGAAAGAGATCCCATTTCTTTTAGTATATTTAGTAATTAATGATTGATTAAATTTTTTAAAAAAGATGAAGGTGATAATTTGTCGAATAGTTACAAATGTTGGAACAATAGTGAGGTTTTCTAGAAAAAAAAAATTGAAAGGAAAAGAAAGAAAGAAAAGAAAAGAATACAAACTGATCGCGTTGAATTCCTTAAACAAATCCTAGCTGATTAAAAGGAAAAGAATACAAACCAGTCACGTTGAATTCCTTAAACAAATCCTAGCTGCTCAAAATAGGGCAAGTGTATCCCTATTCGCCCTCCATACTATTAAACCTATTTGTAGCAGTTTTTTGATATCTTTGCCTCAAAAAACAGTAGCATCAACAGCAAGCAAATCAGCAGTTTTTTGACTGCATCCTGATAGGTAATCTTCAAAAACTTAAATGGATTTTCTGTAAACCTTTTTATCAAACGCCAAGCAGATTGAACCTGCTATGTAATTTCTTGTGATTTTTTAGCTTCTAATAACAAATGGGCTGTTCTATTTTTTTTGTTTGTCAACAGGGTTCTCGTAAAAGTTTGAATCTTGACATAAGTTTTCTAATGTGTAATTTGTCTCCAAAGCAAATGGGTTTTTTTGGTTTATATTTCACTTCTTTGAAAGATCAAAGCTGCCATTTTGTAGAGTAGAAATGCATTAATCTTGTTTCAGTTTGTCAGTTACCATTGAAAAAAAAAAACTGAGGATGAAATCATAAAGAACAAAAAAACAAAAGTGGGAAGAAAAGAAGAAGAAGAGTGAAGCACCATAAGAAAATCCAGTTCTTGTAGTATATTTAGTAATAGAAATTAAGAATAGTAATTGATGTGTTTTCTGTGATTCTCTCTTTAGCCAGTGATAGCTAAAACCCTAGCTACGCCAGCAATTGACTCAAGGGATTTGTGAAATGAACACAATAGTGAGAAGAGCATATAATCTCTGTAGGAGTACGCTGCTGCTGCCGATTCAGGGAGTTAACTCAGTGAGTGGAGGAGAACACCAGATACAACAGTGCAGGGGGATCAGAGTGAGGGTACATAATGGGAACTTGGAGCAGGCATTGAAGTTTATGCAGAGGAAGATGCAGTCCAGTGGGATTGAAAGGCAAATAAAGAACCTACAGACTCACCATGTTAAGAATTCAGAGAAGCGAGTTTTGGCTCGCAAAAAGCTTCAGCGTAGGATTCAATCCCAAGAACTCGCTCGCAGGATCAAGGTTATCCTCGCTGATAAAGCCAGGTGTGTGCTTATGGTTCGTTTTTGGTTTCTTGAGTAATTGAATTGGATTCTATTTATTTTAGGTTGTTTAGGTTTTTTTAACTGTGATTGTTGGAAGGAGATTTTGGAATTATGTTAAACTGCTCTGTAAAACCTTGATCTTACACCTGATGGACATTAATTATGAAATTATTAGTTAAATTACGTATTATACATCTATTCTGTATCAACTCAAATTGGATAATGCTATGCCACTTATTTGGCAGCTAAGAATGCATATAGCAGATTCCATTCTAAAGCTTGTTTAGAGGATGTTAAAATAAATACAGGAACAGTAGGAATATGATTAGAACAGAAAAGGTAAATAAAGCATGTTAAAACAGCTATCTAGACTTGTCTATATGGTGCGACTTTAGAGAATTTACAGCCATGCTCTGCAGTAAAGCTGCTGTCACAATTGACATGTCTGAAGTCATTTGGTATTGTTTTAAGTTACTTGAGATTAATTCTCATTTACTATTGAGATCGATGAAATTGGAAGTGATGGATGGTTATTCTCATGTGAATATTGAATGGGCTGCTCTAATAGTAATAAGCTTCTATGTGATGCTTCTAGTCTCTTATGGTTCACTTTAAGTGGCTGGCTTCCTGTAGAAGTCTCTTGTTGATTGTTGTCGTGGTTCCCTGGGTTTGCAATAGCAAGAAGCACAACATGCAAATCAATTTGCATCCTGAGATAGTGTTCTAGAGCATACCGAGATCAAAAGTTAACTGTTCCTTTCACTCTTTTGCCTCTGCCATTTCTGGCACCCATTTATCTCCATGCTACACCGACTTGATAAATAGTGCAAACCTTGTAGGTTTCACACATGACTGGCATGGGAGTTGCAGGCAATATATATCAAGTAGTCTGCAATGGTTGAATTCTCCCTAGCATGGGGTATTTACCCATGAAACCCTCTGGACAGTGTGGAAAGGCAAATGTGTGCAGTGTGGCTCTGAATTTATGCTGTGTAGTAGTGCTGTAGACGTACAAAACCACACATCTTATTTGGTTTACTAGAATTGTAGCACATTATTTCATAAGTAATTGTTTGTCATGTGATTTTTATTGATACTGATTAATGTTTTCAGGGGCCTGTGAGAAAAGCTATGAAGTACCTTTCTTGGTGCAAGATGGACTCTGAGAGGTTGATTAACCAGCAGGCTTTTTTTCAGCTTCAAGTGAACTTCAGCTGTTCTTTCAAACTCTTTTTACGTTCTCGTGGTAGTCTCTATTATCCGATTTAGTTCTGTTTGCTTTGCTGAATGTTGGGTATTTTGTAGTCTAACCCCCCCCCCCCCCCCTAAAAAGTTGTAAACAAAGTTAAAAGGAACCGAAAATCATTATGTTATGTTTTAATGTATATTTTGTAATAGTATTATATTTGATTTTGAATATATAATAATATGATTCATATTTTTCAAATTAAAGAAACAAGATATTCTTACTACCTATGTAATTTTTTTAAAAGGTTGGAAAGGCAAAAGCTTATCAAGAAGGTAAAATTTCTAGTCTATTTAAGTAATTGTTGCATGATTATAAAATGTTAGGATCAAGATGCTTTTGCAATTTTGTGTGTAAAGAGTACATGTGAGGAGGGTGTAAGTTTTTTTTTAAAAAAAAAAAGGAGGTGACTTGACAAAAAAAGAGATAATAAATATAAAAATATATGTAATTGAAAAGACAAAACAAATATATACAAATAAATTTATTTTTAAGATAATTTTGGAATAAATTTTAGTATTTTTAAAATATGAGATGTATGGGATGTTTTCAAAGATAATATTTTTTATTTTTTTTACTAGAACATCCTTATAAAAAACTCTTAATTATAAAATTATTCAACTAAAACATGTAAAGTTAAAAATAGTTGTTATTATAATTTTAAAATCCAACTTGAAGGTCGATCCAAAGCAAGGCTTGAGTCACGAATCAATGTAAAAATAAAAATAATTATTATTATAGTTTTAAAATTCAATTCATAGATCGACTCAGGATAAGATCCTGGTCATGAGTGGGATTAATCATTTACCTGGATCAATACAATGATAAAAGTAGTTATTATCATGGTTTTAAAACCTGATCATTGATGGTTGACCTGAGACGAGGCCCAAGTCAAGTGTCGAGAAGGTTTATCCAATTTGACTCAGATCAATGTAAAGATAAAAATTATTATTAATATAGTGTCAAAACTCAATTCGGGGTTAAATCTAGGAAAAATGCTCGAGCCATAGATTAAGAAGTTCAACCTAGGTTAACTTAAGTCAACTTATAGATAAAAACAGTTATTATCATAGTTTTTAAACCTGACTTGAAAGTTAAACTGATACAAGGTTCATGTAACAAGTAAGGAAAGTCAACTCAGTTGACCTTTTTAAAAAAAAATCAAAGCAACCTTATTTTGACCAAAAATAATTATAAAAAAAAATCAATGGGTTTTTAACACATGTTTTATCTCAAAGTCATTTTAAGTTTTTGATCAAGTAAGATCAGGTTAATCCTTCGTCTGTTTTTTAAACTCGAACCATTACAAGTCTTAGATCGGTTCGGTTTTAGGCCAATTAACCAGGTCAGTTCTAGTTTTATAACTATGGTTATTATAATATTATTAATTTCAACATTCAACATAAATTGAAGTAAAAAAATAATATTAATTATTTTTAAAATATATAAATTTGATAACAATATATTTTAAAGGTGAAATAAGTTTTTATATATTTTATTTTATCTTATCTACCATAATCAAATAGAATACAAAGACAATCACTTTGTCCCATACAATATTACTAAATAATTTTATCATCATCTTCTATAAAACCCAAACTTTTGGTCCAAACTTAAGTCTAAGTCAGTTCAAACACAACCTTAGTTAACTTAGAAAAATAAGGAAAAGTTGTAAAAGAATTGTTTTTTTTTCTTCTTTTTTTTATGGTTGTTATGACCCTTCCCTCATCAAACCAATTATTTAGTGTTTTATCTTGAGTTTTTGGTTCCAAAAAGGTGAAAATAATAAGTAAATGTTTCTTTTAATGTTATTTTTTATTGTTAGGTTGTTCATGGAAGGATCAATAAAAAAGAATTTTTTGTATGATTTTGATGATCAAATGATTTAAGGAATTTAATTGAAGTATTAAGGTGTTATTTAATTTAAAATAAATTATTTTGATGACTGGAATAATGAGTTTTAGAAAAACAAGTCACCTGTTTTGGGATTCTATATATTGAGGACTGACAAGTTAGGATTTTGGAAATCTAAACCAACCAATCAACATATTAGTTTGAATTGGTCAATTAATTCACTTGTTGTTATTGACTAGCTGATTGATTTATGTGATAGTCAACCTATTGGTTAATTCGGTCAATTGATTAACCAAGCAATGGTGATTAATTAAGTCTGTTAGGTTTGATTAGTTTGAGTTATGTTTAGTTCGGCCTCATATTTACTTTTTAAACTCTAAGCTTAGATTTTTTAAATCTTTCATGCTACTTTGCTCCGAGTTAATTTTTAGTGTTTTTTCTATTCATTATGAGTTCTACTAATGTTCCTCGTAACAATCTTCAGTAATCTTCTATTCTATATTCATTTGCCTTTTGTTTTTGTTTTCCAAATGAATAAGATAATTTTTAATATATATATATATGTAATATAAATAATATATGTATATTAATATTATGATAAGTACAAATGATTATTTCTTCAATATATATATATATATATGTTTTTTTATTTCTGATTACTCATTCATTTTTTATTTTGTACTCGCATTTTATTGAATCAAATAATATTTAATATGATTTTTATTTGTTTTGGATACTCATGTGAATAATTATTATGTCTTAATACTGGTATGCTATTAGAAACTCCATATTAACAAAAAGTAGTTAATCTTTGTGCATTTTGTATGTATATACCTAACTAGTGAGAGATGCACAATATTGAGATGACTCATCTTTCCACAATAGTCATATTCAGGTGTTATCTAGTTACCTTCAAATGTCATTTGATCTTTGACATGTGTTCTACCCTCTCATGTTAATATACTTAGTTTTATTCTCTTATTTTTATATCATCACGATTGATGACTTATATTCATAAATAACTAAAATATATATTAAATGTTATTTCCTTACCGAGCTGGTTAAACTCACCTATCCATTTAAATTATATCTAGATTTTTAGTTTCTGTTATTAGGTTGATATTCACTAAGATATCATGCTTTCTTTATTTTTTGTTTGGCATGTCTTACTTGTTTTTACGAGAGTTTTTTTTTTAGTTTGATTCAATATCTTAGATGCTCTAATATTATATTGTTTTATTTAAAGTTTGGACTTTGACTATATAATAATTATATGAATTATTGTTTTTGTTTTAATTGATGATGAAATTTTTTGAACTATTATTGATTTTATTACTTTGAACAATATCATATTTTGAAAGATTATAAAATGCAGCATGATTTTAGTTTTATGATATCTATGTTCTCAAATTCAGCGCATATAACGGTCTCCGCAGTATTATTCTTATGTTGTTAATCATAAATACAGATTCGGGTTGTGAAATCTTCTTTTTTATTTTATCTCTTTTATCTCCAATATTCTTCCTTTGTATTATAAAGCAATAACCAAACATTACTTACATGCATCTTAAGTTTTTGGTCAAAATAAGATAGACCTATAATTATTTAAAAAATATAATTTAATTTTTGATAAATAACATTTTTTCAATATTAACTATACTAAAGATCATATACTAGTTCTAAAACATAACATGCAAATGAGAAATTAGTGAGACACATGTTATTTTTTAAGATTATCATATCACCTTTATATTTGTCCATCACTTAAAAAAAAAAAATAGTTGAAAGAATCTATTATTTATCAAAAAAAAAAAATTTCATGTTGGTGAAATTGATTTTTTAAAGATAATAAATAAGATTATCAAAAATATATTTTTTAACATGATATAAAAAATAACTCATAAGTTTATTAGTATATTTGAAAGCGTAGTTACAATTAATTTTAATTTTAAAGTGTTTGTACTTAGAAATATATTAAAATAATATTTTTTTTATTTTTTAAAAATTATTTTTAACATTAATATATTAAAATAATTTAAAAATATAAAAAAATATTAATTTAAAACAAAAAAAAAATTAGATTTTTTTAAAAATATTTTTAAAATATAAAAATTCAATATGCTTTGGATTATTTAACAAAATAATAATAAGAGGTTGATGTAACACATTAAGAGTCTATTTTGTATAACAGTGATAATATAGTATTTAGTTGTAAAATCAATCATGATTTTTATTTATAGATACTATTATTACTTATGTTAAAAATTTGTTGAAGCAGAAATTACATGCTTCTCTCATTGCATTCCTACTTCTGCCGTTTTATGAACACAATATATTAATTAATTTTAATTTTAATTAAATATATATAAATATCAAATTAATTTCATAAAAAATATTTTTTATAAAATATTTTTCTTGAAATTATAATCACAACAGCTACAGCAGCTACGATAGCACTAAACACACTCTAAAGCGTCTTTGGAATGCTGTAGAAATCATGTATAATCTTTACTCGCTGAAGAAGGCTTTCGATAACAAGGCATGCTCTGCAATGGCCATCAATATTAATGAGCAGAGAAATTCGAATTGAAAAGCATAGAGAGCATAACTCTTTACTCGCAGCTCTTCACCAGCTCAGCCATGGATTTTTAGAAGGTACATGCGCTCTTTGTAAAATCTGACATTTTACAGTACTGTTTTAAAACCCCAAAGCCACTGAGAAAGAGGGTTTAAAAGTGCCGATCTTGGCAACCCCATTCCTGC